CCTGCGCACTTCCTTCTCACAAAAGTCAATTCTTTTTTCCACCCTTGTAGAGATAAAGACACACAATGAAGACGTGCCTTGGCTGCTTGAAAGGGCGCGGGCATAAATTTTGTTCTCAAATAAGATTGGATTAAAGCTAAAAGCCTGCTGACAGCGCTTTTTGCCCATAATAGTGGCGCTCAATCGCCGATTTATAAAAAATGTTTTTTGAGAACATTATAAATACTTTAAATTTAAATGCCTAATAAATCTTTCCATACAGAAAACACTCATATCGTAAACTAAACTGAAGAAGGCCAGACTCATGAAGCTTTTATTTACCCTTTTTACAATTATGAAACATTTTCAACGCATATATACCAACGTCTAATAAAACTTTTTGAGATAATTCAAGCCTGCTGTCGCCGTTCCCAGCACGGAAGAGCTTCAACTCGATCTTGCATTTTCATAAATATAGTCCGGCCGCTCTAGTGTAATAAGCTTTACGCCGGTGGCAGGTAATTTAATTCTGTGTAATTGGTCCCCACCTCGGTCGGCTTCCGTGCTCGACCGAATGATTGTGCATGCGATGTCGTCGACGTATTTTTCTACCACCCTCTCTAATCCTCACACACAGGTGGGTGTGCTCTCACAGTAAACTTTCTCTCATTTTCATTCGGCCCGACAAAAATGTGTACAATATTGCTCGCGCGTTTAATACGGAGAGCGCGTGACGAGCACCGAATGTCAAAAAGCTTCCTTCTCATGACGCCGCAATAAAAGCCGCCCCGTCCAATTCCGCGGAAATATATTGTATATCTTCTTGCTCGTTTGACATTTTTCTGGCGGCAGCCTTTCTTTTTACGGCCCTGCCAGTTTAATCAACTCGTTATGTTCAGCAAATGTGAGGGCGGGTTTCCGTGTATTTCAAAAGTTGAGTCGTTTTCTCCTGAAAGTATTTTGGTGGATACCAGAGTGAAATTTCGCATGCTTGGAATGAGTTGCGTGAGAACTGCTTTCTACTTTAAGCTGCTGTCAAAATTAAAAATAAAAACTTGAATTTTTAAAATCTATATTAAATTCATGAAGTCCGGAAAATGTATTTTTATTTTTGTATGTTTTTAATTACATTTTTTTTTTAAATTTTATATATTACATTGTGTACAAATAATATTCATTCAAATTAAAGGTATTCAAATAAATATAAAATTGTGTAACTTTAGCTTAAATGGTTTTAAGTGTGCGGAGATTTATAAGAATTTGAGGAAAGGTCCACAAATCCCTCTTTTTCCATAACAAGCATATAAAAGTTTGGCCATCCAACGTATCTCCTTGCCAAGGAAGCAAATAAAAGAATCGGGTCCGCTCTAGTAATAAGACCGACGGAAATGAGTGCCGGAAGGCAGTCGGTCTCGAGCGAACAGCATCATCTTCTCGGTCCAGCTCCCAGCTTCCGGCACAGCTCTCTCGCTGCAGAAGGAGCTGCCGACGCCGCCGCAACTCTCTGCTCGCGATCCCTGCCTGTTTTGACATTGGAATTACAATGGCATTAACTTTTTACTCTCCACTGCAACGCTCTCAATCTAGAGTGCTGCTGCAGAGTAAAACTTTTGTACTTCGCATCGTGCTTGGACGCATCGGCAGCACCCTTTCATTGGAAAGGATAAGGTCCTGACGTAATAAAATGCTGTTTATACAAAGGACAGAGATGAACGGCAAACAAGAATAAATTGAATATTTTTTTCCAGGAATAGGATTATTTTGAAATAAAAATTAGTTTATGGACTAAAGTCACTTATTTCAAATTTAATTTCTGGCCTGGAAGAAATTTTGTGGTGCTTTTAGAGTTAAACACAAATACTCGTTTTTTTTTCTCTCGTTGTGCAATTGATTTTTAATTTGGATTGCACCCCCTTTGTCCGGAATAGGCCTTCGCCTCTCTGCCTTTGTTATTCTTGCTCGAGAAAGCATTGAGTCATTCTGTCAGACAAAACGGGTCCCAGCCACTCCGTTTCCGGCCCCTCGCAACAATAGCCCGATCCATTTGCTCAGCAATTAAGGCCGAATCCAGGTCGGGCGGCTTTTAGCCCGTGAGCAGCAGTGACAAGCTGCAACCCGCTCGACGCGCTGGCCGGGCCGGTTGCATGCTCGTCCTTGCCTGGTGGGAAGCGAGCGAGTCACGCCTCCACCGTCGGCGCACAAGAGGCGGAAAAGCGTAAAGCTGGAAAAAAGCGCGGCGCTGATGAGTTTTTATGATGAATTGGAGAGCGTCCTTAATCGCGGTTTAATTAAAAACACTCCATTTTTAACGCTCAAGACTCGACGGCTGAGAGGAATGGCGACTTGGGGCGACTTACAAGGGTGCGCGTGAGGAAAATTTATAAAGAGAGAAGAACTTTATTAAACGCCGCTAATCATTCTTAATGAGCTGAACTGCGATATTTTTCTTGTTCATTAGTGCAAAGAAATTTATTATACAGCCAAGAGCTAATTTATAAAATTTAAAAAGTCATTTTTTCAAGTAAGCTTGCCTGCAAAAGGGGCTGCGCTTTAAAGATAAAAGAAAGAAAGTCAATCTCGTGGAAAAGCACTCTCTGCCAGCACGGATTTTCTCCAAACTTCCCTCTGCTCGCAAAGTAAATTACCGGCCGCCGGGTGGAAACTGTCGTTCGGCTCTGCAAATTGGATTCAAAGGAAGCGACAACGCCTGCTGGGTGAATGGGGTCGCTCGTTCCGACCCTTACATGTTTATCGAACAAAAGTAATTGTCACCCAAGTTGCTGCATTATGGGCCCGTTTACAGCGCAAAAGACAACAAAATTGGCGTCTCGGAGTGTACACTCAAGCCTCTAGGGGGTCGTATCTTCTTGTTTAACAGCTTCAGATTAATCCCAGCTCCTAGTAAAGTACCTAATAAGGCAACAGCAAAGGTCGCATAGTCGCAATGCACCTTGCTGAAAGGCAAAATTAGAAAAGCAGCTAGTTTCGTGCCGAGATCCTTATTGTGAAATCAATTACTTGCCTGATTTATTACCAAATTTGTTATACGAAAAATTAAAAAAAAAATAATAATAATTTACAATTTTTGGCGGTTTCATGTACCCGGTGAAAGAAAACTGGCTGCTTTCGCTTCCCCTGATGAAAATTTGCCCGAAAGGCGCAGGAAAAGAGGAGAGGCGCAGAGCCTTGATCGATCTTTCAAGAGACCCTTGCCTAGCTCAGCTCTGGAGGCTTTTCTTCTGGTGCTTGTTTTCGCAGCTACTCTTCACCAGCAGCAAAGTCAATTTTTTTCTTCTTTATGAAATGTTGATGAAACATTTTTCATTTCAAAAATCAATTTTTTTTTGTTTCAATAATTTTATATAACCCATGATAATAAGTTTTCCTATTTTAGAAATCACCTTCTTTGATCAGGCCCGTCTTGTGTGCGCCAATTCTTGATTAGTCTGTCAAACATGTCAAATCTTTGTTTGTTTTAGCAATAAAAGATCAAGAGGATTTACAGAAGCGCACACTGATTTCTAGGTCTTAAAATATCTCTAGGCCCAGCTTGCCTATCTCGCGGCTAGAACAAGCTCAAAAAGTATGCCGTCATTGTTTTTTCCTTTGTCGGCTCAATAGGTCCAATCGAAGAAGCGTCATCTCTTCAGAAATCAAGCACCGGCATTCGGACGATTTGACGAAAATACCGCGCTCTGCATTATCTCGCTCTCCCTTCTCCGTCGCGCGCAATTATCTTATCGCATGTTGTGCCGCCCAAATCACTTATTCACTCTCTGCAAGTTACCTCCACAAATAAATAAAAAAGAATGGTGCAGATCAATTTGCCGCCAAGGTTAAGTTACGCAATTATTTGATTACAATTCAATGTCCCGTCCAGTGTCAAGAAGATTTAATTGACTCACGTATTCCAGGAAGCCTTGAAATGTTACATTTCAATGCTCCAAGCTAAAAAATGGAATTCTTATCATTGATTCTATATATTTATGAAACAGAGAGCTCATTAATAAATGAAATGCACGTATGTACCAGTAAAAATAAATAATCCAGCCATAATTAATTTCACTTTTGTTTTAGTTTATAAATAATAATAGGCGGGAGTACATGTAAGATAATATTTTTTTATTAGAAAGTATTGAATTAATAATAGATTTTAGCACATGCACCATAATTATATTAAATTTTTTTGTTTAAATATTCAAAGTGAAAATTTTACATTTTTAATTAATACAAAATAACCTTACCTATTATCTAAACATTTAAAGGACATTCTTAATTTTTGGTTAAAATGACAAAGTCTTATTAATTATTCAATATAAAAATTATGCGCTTTTTGTTATTTTTGACGAAACTATTCAACTCAATAATCAACTGCGTGATAAATGTGGATCGCGATAAAAGTCATCCAGCGGCAGCCAAACACAAGCAAACTCGTCGTTCTATAGTGGAAGGGCGCCTCCGTGCCGATAAAATCGAGTTAATCACAGTAATACAGTTCGGAATAATAAAAAGAGCGTCGTTTATTAGTGCGTGACTCGCTTTTGCGGCCACGCACACACGCGTGCGCCCCCTCGTAGCAGGGTGGATTGCGTCGGTCGACGTGCCGCACCCCCGCCCAAGCATCTCAAATGAACAGTGTCGTGTGCTGCGAGGTCCTGGGAATCGCTTGCAAGAGTCATGCAACACAATATTGTTGTCAACCCCGAGTCGAATATTGCCGCACGGGGAGGTCTCCGCGCTCTATGCCATGCAGCAGGCTAATATCGAGCTTATCCGTGCCGTAAATCAGAGCACCATCAAATAATCATTACATGCTGGGGGACGGCTTTTCCGATTGCTAATCGACGCAGGCGGAAGTGAGAAATTAAATTAAAAACATTCCCGCTAACAATTTTCACGCTGACGCTGGTGCTTGCAATTTTTTTAATTAAATGAAATTTTTTTTTATGAATAAAACTAATTTTTTTTTTCAAATAATTTTAAGGTTTTACACAAAATGAGAACAATTTGAGTAATTATTATATAGTTTTGGTTTATTTTGCGAATTTGAATTCAGAGGAGCCAAGACACACAGTTTGAAACAATTCCTCATCACAGTAAAGGAAATATGCAATTTACACGTTTTCTTATTTAAACTTTGTCGTCTCTTAATATTTAACAATGCGCTCTATCCTGTTAAAGTACTTACATAATTATTATCTCAATACATTTCTACACAATAATATAAGTGCCGCCGATGAAATTCTATGAACTGAACACTTCCTGAATTATAAACTTTATACAAAGCAGTGGATCTGCAAAAAGATTCGTGATTTTTCTTCCAATATTATATTTTCAACTTTCCTTCCCAATTCTATTACTTTACACTGTCAACAATTATTAATCATAATGAAGTTGAGATCTAAGGAAATGGAAATAAATGGCTTAAAATTTTACACGACGGCTGCTGAATGAAATTTAATGCAAAATTTAAGTGGGTTAATTACACCCATGAAGAAATTCCAGCATTTAAAATGGGCTAACTTTCCCTTTTGCAAAATGACTCAATTTCCACACACAGCCACCGATTACGCGCGATGATATAATAATAACAATCGGAATGGTAGAAGTTGAGCAGTTAGAGCGGGCCAGTAATTTATATCTTAACGAGAGAGTGAGCCATAATTTCGCCCCAAGACCGGACACGCCGCGTCATAAAAACAACTTGGCTTTTTTGCGGGGGAAAGTTTTTCCATTAGCAATTTGATCATTATTTGAAAGAATTATGTCTGCATGGGCTGCTGCGGTATTCACAAAAGAAATACAGGCGCCCAGCATTAAACATTTGCCACTGGAAAGATAGAGATAAATTAAGCACAAAAATCTATTTAACGGCGTAAATAAATGCTTAATCTCTTGCTTGCTTTTGATACACTTTTACTCTTATATAGAGATGATATACGAAGTTAAGTATTACAGAGAAGTTCTTCGTTTGTTATTTACACACAATAAGTTCATCAATAACGCACTCTCAACAACAGGGGCGAGACAGTATGTTTAAATCCGTCTCCTTTACAGATGGCACCACTTGTACTAGTAAGGAATTTGGGACAGGAACTGATTCTGCGGCTCGAGGACTAGGCGGGGACTTGTGGACCTTTTCAATCAACGGTTGCCAAAAAGGTCCTTTGGAAAACCTAATTGAACAAAGTGTTTGTGCTACCACCATCGCGGCTGGTGCATGAGCGGGTGACTGTAGGTGGGCATCACCATATTGCAACTACTGTTGGCCAGAGTGGCCGCCAGGGAGGCCGGAGGCAGTTGGAGAGCGCTAATGTCCATGTTGACGTTCATAAGCCCTGGCAGGCCCATTTCCTGATTTTTACCTCCTCCACTGCAGGGTTTGCCATCCCTGACGAGGACAGGAACAGCCACCCTGCGTGGAGAGGGGAGGGTGCTTGTAGCCGAAGCCTCTTGCATACCTTTCTCCATCTGAGCTCTTTTGGTCTTGTACCTGAGAACATAAAAAGAAACAAATGGTTTAAAACCTGTTTATTTCAAAAAGTTTAAAAAATCGATAAAACTTCAATTTCATTCTATTTAGAAAAAAATAACAACAAGTAGTTGATTTACGAGTTAGAAAATTTGGAAAAAAATATTTTTAAAATAATCACTTTTTTACACTTATTGTTAGAAGTTGAAGAGTTTAGTACTTATACCTGTGGTTCTGGAACCAGATCTTGACTTGAGTGGGCGTTAGCCTGATGATGCTGGCCAGGTGCTCCCTTTCTGGGGCAGACAGGTACCTCTGCTGGCGAAACCGTCTTTCCAACTCGTAGGTCTGCGCCTTTGAGAACAAAACGCGCCTCTTCCTTTTCTTTTGCGGCGGTTGTGGAGGGTCGGATGGATTCCTCGGAACGTCCTCTTCAGAATCGATGTCTTCCTCAATGCAGTCGCCGTCGCCGTCCATCGGCATGTCGTCATCGTCTCGGCTGAGGTCACGTGGTGCTGTGGCGCCGACGATTCCTCCGTTAATTCTGGTTGAGTCTGCAGTCGTGCGGGGGCTGCGAGGTGAGTTTGTGGGTGATGAACCGGGAGGCATGGCCCCTGAGGACGGGGAGGCGGCAGGATCGAAAGGGCCACCGGGGTAGCCGTCGAAGGGGCCGCCACCACTTCTGCTGGCCGCGGGGGATGTGCTGTCTGGGCTGAGTTGTTGGGGAGCGGGGACTAAACCTGGCCTACACAAGCCTGGAACATAAAGAAAATGACATTGAACACTTATTTTCTTCAATTTTTGTATTTTTTATTATAAAGAAGAAAATTTAAAATTAAATTGTTTTTTAAAATAGTTGATAACTTCACTTTCAATTATTATTTTATTTTTCATTTTCATATAATTGTCTTATAATAAGATTTTAATATATTTTACTAATTTTTGTTATAATGAGCTTGAATTGAAAAGTATTATTGCCACGTACAAAAAATATCAAAGAATTAAATAGAATATAGTGTATTTAGTTTTTAAAATTCTAAAGAAGATGTAGAAAAAAAAAATTGTTCGACACAGCGTTAAACGATTTACAACGAGTTCTTGTTAATAGAGTGTGGAAAAACAATCACGTCTTTCCAAGCGATTGCACATTTGAGCGCGGCGGGAGTGCAAAAAGTGGCAGACGCCAGCATGCACACACGTGCAGCCTCGGCCGCGATAAGCCAAATCAAAGGGTGATAACATGCAAATGCTACAGCGTACGCCAACCGACCCGGCACGCCGCTGCACCCTCAACAGAGAGGTCATGAATATCATTGGTAATTGAAAAATATTGTAAGTGATATACAGCGAACATATTCCGCATTTGTACCACCGCATCAAGCAGTATAGTTGCAGAGAGGGTGGGAAATGAGCAATAACCAGCGCTCAGCGCAGTAATCGCACGAGGGTGCATATCAATTGCTTGCTAGGCATCAACCAACGTATTGCACGCATCTACAAAAATTAGAAAATCACCAAATGCAACAAATGTTTGTTTTTAAGTAAAATAAATGATACAATTAAGAATTTTCAGTCAATAAATCAAAATGCAGAAATCGCGATTTCTGCAGAAATTTGAAAAACAAATCATTCACTGATAAAAGGCTTTATAAAAAATTAGTAATTTTTTCTCGGAGCTAAACTTTGACTTGTTTTGACAAATTTGTATTTTGTGCTAATGTTGTCTGCATTAGACTTTGCCTCGTTCTGCAGTAATCACGTTGTTTTTGAGTGGTATGCTCTCATCACGATCTTATCTTTAAACCAGCGCGAAGGAAAAAAATACTATACAAACAAAGAGTGCACGAATCCGCAAATGAGGCGCCCCTCTCTCTCGATTTGTTGTCCTATAGCAGCAGTACTATTCCAGCATCTGCGTGCCGATTTAATACGCTATAATTTGAGCAATCAATTAAGACACTATCTCGCGCAGTCTGCCGCTCTGATTTGGCTAATCTTGAGTGCCAACGACGATTCACGGCCGAATTTAAATTAATATCTCATTAACGTACTTATTCTAAGAGAGCAAAGAGAATAACACTTTTGGCCAATATTCAATACTATCATTAAATTTATTGATATTATTATTATTAATCAGAGAAACGTAATTTATTTCACTATTGTTTAAAAACGTAATTAATAATCTTATTATCTCCATATTCAACACCAAATGAGAAGAAATTTACATTAATCTTGAAGCGGATCGATTTAAAATTTGCATTGCAGATTAATATCAGTTACAAGTGTATGATCTCTATAAATAACATAATCGAAAAAGCATTATCCAAATAAGACAAGAGAGGCTCTTTGGCGGCGAGAGAAAGCCGCGCAGTAATAATTTGATAAGTTATCTAACTACTTGACTCGTTGAGCGGTAATTAAATTAGAACACGCTTGTAATTGGCGTAAGAAGCAGAAGAGGCTCTTGTGCGCGGAAGAGCTGTCGGCGGCGGTTGGCATTTGAAAAGTTCGCGACATGCTCGGCTTGCGCTCTCCAACTTCCGAACAAGGGCTGTTGTCGCCGGTCGCCGCCCCTTGGCTTGACAACCAGCCCTTCGCCCCTCCTTTCATCTTAACAGGGGCGGAAACCAGCTTGCTTTTGTCTCATGCCAAACGAAGCAGAAATGCATTATGACATCCCCTGCCTGCCCGTGCGTCTCTCCTCTCTCAACTAATACATATCAAAGCTCCTGCTACCGTTCAGTATCATAATATACACTGCCGCTGGATGTATATTGAAACCATAAAATGTTACACTCCCCGCTCTAACCAAACAAAGCTGCTAAGTGGATGCATAGATTAGTTTTTGCCACAGTACATTTTATTATTATTTATCGTCAAAAGCTTAAAAAAAATCTAAATATTAATTGAATGAGAAATTGAAAATGAAGTTCAATTAAAATAATATGATTTTATTTTCGACAAAATTTAAACTGATTTTAAATTTTTGCATCTCATTTAAACAGATTTATCCTTAAAATCTAAATTAAATTAATTATTGTTAGATGATTAATCACTTATCAAAAATTGACAATTTTAAGTAAAAACGCAACCTGCATAACACTGGTGTTGACCAGATTGCATAAAACAAAAAGATTTAGACAGTTTCCGTGAAAATAAATTTTGAAAGTAAATTAACACAGGTTCAGTGGCTGATGATTAAAAATCACGAAGTGGCTTCACAAGAAAGTAAAAAGCCAGCGTTCAGTGCGAGTGAGTAAAGCAAGACTTATCTGATCTGCTTATCATTACTGAATAATACTACAAAGGAGAGTCATAAAAAAGTGTGCCACGCTGCCAACGAAAACCAATAAACGCGAAAACGATTCAAACGCCCCACGCCACGACTGCTAATGTCTCCGCCGCACAATGCAATGATTGATGAAAATTATAAAACAAATTATGCATGTAATTTGAATAACACGCAGGCAGGCAGCAGTTTTTGAAATGACATCGGCAGAAAAGAGAGGCGTGATCTCTGCAGCTGCATTCGGAAGCGCGACCCCTGCGATTGGCGGCGACGGGGTCGGTTGGTGAATGCAGTTTGACCCCTTGTGCCCCCGAGAACATCTGCTCTTCAGCATCCAACATGGCCCCATCGATTGTAAATAGCTCTTTAAGGGCGCTAAGCTGACTTAATATCAAATAAAATGAATAAATCCGGACGCTCTCTCCATGATATGCACTCAAAAGTGTTACACCATTTGTCTGCGCGCACTTAATGAGAACAAATAATACAACCAGAGCAGTTGCTGCATACAATTCGGTTGCCGCTTTCAATTTCCTATGCATGTGCCAAAGGAGAGGGCTTCGACTCTCAAAAAAATAAAATTCGTTCCTGTTCTTGGCGGAACAAAAAGTAAAAAAGAAAAAAATGCAGGGGGACAAAATGATAGAGAGAATCAGATTTGAATGCAGCAGGAAATACAATGATTCCTGGTATACATAGTTTACAACAATGTAATATTTTGTTAGTATATTGGAAAATTATATAAATTTTTAATTCGTGATAATAAGTAGTGAAAAATATTTGTGTCATTTTTCCGCGATTCATTTTTTTAATTTGTCTTAATTGCTGAATTTTTAAACAGAAATTTAATTATTTTGAGTTCAATTACCTGGTGGATGATGGTGAGCTTCGGCAGCCATGGCTGAGGCGGGGTGATGCGGCCAACGGCCAGGCCCAAGCAGAGCCTCACTCGATGGCCCCAGAAGGCCATAGAAAGGATGCCCATAGCCAGACAGACCTTGAAACTCTGGAGATGTGAGAGAGCCTAAAACAAAAATCAAAATTTTTTGGTGACGGAAAAGTATAAAATTCAAGTAAATGCCAGCAGGAGCAATTATTTTAAAACCTTTTGGAAAATTTGCTGAGTCACGAGTCTCATTATTTCCCGACTCCATTTGCATGCGTTCCGAAATAATTATGCTCGAGCAAAACAAACTGGGCACCAAACGTGACAACTTCATTTCCAGGAATCAGGGGCTCAAGTGAAATTTTGGTTTTAGGAGGGTCATTAATGTGGCTACAAAGTGGCTTTTTATCGCACAAAAATTGCTCTCCGATAAAAAGCTTCACTTGCTAGATAACTTTTGACATTAAAAAAATCCAACGGCGAGAGAGAGTGTATTAGTGATTTGAATGTACAGCGGGGGAAAATTTGCTGTTTTGTCAGGCGAAAGAGACTGATAAAATCAAACGACATTTGGGAAATGAGCATCGAGCACGAGCAATAAAAAATCTCATTTGAAGAAGGTCGTTTAAGACTGAAAGCAATCGGAGGCAATTTCTGAGAGTGATCGTCGGAGAAAATTTCATCGCCGTGACTGCTGCTGAGCGATTTCCTCATCACAGAAAATTCAAACACGCTCCAAGAATTATAGATTACAAAAAGCCGGAATAAAATTTTCCGAGCGAAAATACAAGAGGAGGGCAGCAACAGCACATTAACTTGAAAAAGCTTTCGGTCACGAAATTTCTTTTTCCACTCTGATTGCATGCGTTTTATCACTATCTGTGCTTTTCGAAATGGCACGGCACCACAATTTCCAGCATGGCCTCACCACTCTAACCCTTATTTTAATTATACCTATCTACCCCGGTGAGCTGCGTGCGCCCGCCCGGCCCAGCACACGCGTTATTTCACAAGAGAACACCTCAACTCACTCGCCATAGATAACAATTACACACTCGCGCACATATGAATAAGTTCAATTGACACAGCAATTAGGATATTTTAATGCGCCTGTTACGTTTAGTTTTATGCGGGGCGCATTTATGCGAGGAGACTTGTTGAAAGGGTTGGTTTTAAATGAAATGGGTCGGCGCTCGGCGTGTGCACCACAAAAGTTTGAGTATCGATTGTGGGGCGGCTCATTTAACTACTCGCGAGCAACAACCTGGCACTCTCACATTTTAAGTGCGTCGGTTCGCCCAAAATTAAATGTTTTGCTAGATAATAAAAGGGTAGATAGCATGTAAACGAATATGCGCTGTTTTAAATGTGACATTTTATATTTTTAAAAGCTCAGTAAAGATGCTTTTTTGATATGTTGAGGTATTTTGAACTTTAAAAGTTGCTGGTGATTGCGCAAGATTGTTGACCAACAATACCAGTATAAATGAAAACACCAATTATCACCATACCGTCAAAATATTATTCATTCTAAAAAAAATTGGAATAAATAAAAGCTACATTTTAAATCAATTAGAAGCATATTTTTCGGCAAGTTGGAAATTGGCAAAAATTATCCATACATTTGTTTTGTTTTTATTTGCAACTTTGTCTACAGGTTGTATGAAAATAAATTTTTCAAAAAATTTTGTTATAAAATTCATGAATTTTTACTAGAAAAAATATATTCAACCAAAAAAGCAGGATTGTAAAATTTTTTAATTTTCTTTTCTTTAATGTTTTCAACGATTAATCTTTGAATTTCATACTTATATTTTATGTTTTAATCCGCCTCTAATAGAAGAAAATAAACAATTATAAAAATAAGAATAAAACATAATAATTAATTAAAATAAGATAGATGCCCTCTTGTAATCAAGGACAATATTTTGAAGCTTTCTTGCCACGTATAAGGCGAAATTGGGAAAATGTTGACAAGCGCACGTCACCTGCGCCAAATATTTACTTGGGACCAGCAAAAGCAATTAGATCGGTGGTTAATGGTCGGCACACACATACGCAGAGGCCTAGTTCAATTTATACTTTTGACTCCAGCTCATTCCTCAAATGTCTCGCTGCGCAAATATCCATCAGCCCACCTTTTGTATTGAATTGGGGTGCTGGCCGGTCGCAATCAAAATAAAGCGCAAAACTATGTAACAACCGCACCCTATTCGACCGCGATCAAGATTTCAAAAGCAAACCGCGCGCGGCGCCAGAAATAACACAAATATTATACGAAATGGATCTGTTTTGACAGCGGCAGCTCAAAATCGCGTCTTGTGTATTTTTCTATGGCTTGTTTGCCCGCAGAATGATTTTTGTAACAAATTTTTGGCATTGCTTACCGTGGGGTGGAAGGGTTGAGGGATGATTGGGTAGGTCACCAGGCTTGGGCGTGCCCGTGGCCTGGTCGTGCAACTCCAAAATATCGCTGATGTGGAATCCAGAAGGACGACCGGAAATGAGCTTTCCTGAACCATCCAGCAAGCGACTGTGAACAAAAACAGAAAAATATTCAGCAACATAAGTTTAAAAATTGCATAAAATTATTATTATTATTGAATAACTATATTTCTGTTGAAATGTCATTTCTCAATTCATTATTCATCATGGTATTGAAACGTCAATCGGCCAGACATCCGAGTTTAATTATATTAGCCTGAATGAATGATGGATATCAGATGGTTTAAATTAATAAATGAAGTGTTGTTAAAACTTTGTTTAAATATTAATCGTATTGAGGAATGCAGTTATGAAATTATTAAATAAACTAAATAATTCAAAATATAATTCAAAAAAATATTTAAAACCTTAAGTGACAAAATTTTTAAAGATTAATAAAAAACATTGGAAAATCATGTTTAAATATTACATTAAGCAGCCAGAGAGTGCAAACAAGGGCAGAGGCAGTTTATTTTCTGCTAAATTAGCACGCGGCGCGGCGGTGGTTTTGTGCGGCGGCGGTGGCGGCGATGATGCTGTGCGATACGCGCCCCGCAAACAGCCCCATAATGAAGAGTGATGATGAAGTTAACAACGCGCTGCTGACAGCGAGGGCGGAAGATTAAATTGCTGTTCACCACCATCCATTGAGCTGATTGCAGGAAGTTTGCATTTCCCAATAATTTTAACGATATTATACTTCCTCGTCCTCTCGCACTCATTTCAAATTTTTTTGTGATGATACTGATGATAATAAAAATACTTTTTTAATAGATCCGCAATGAAAAGATACATGGAAGGATACATTTTTTTAAATGCAATTTTTGACTTCTTGTATATTTCAGTAAATTAAAAAGCACGGTTTGCTATAGCGCGCATATTTCTTTTCCATAAAAGTGTCACTTTCAAAAATATCGTTTTCTCTAAGAGTTGGCTCAAAAACGTGACTGCCACAAAAGGAAAATGAAATATATGTGCTATTCTCAGTATTTGCGGAATAGCCTCTGAATGGACTTCCTTTGCACCACCTGAAAATTTCCGACTTCAAAGAAAACGCAGCTTCGGCTTTGATGGTAATTTGAGACGCGCGGCAATTCTCCTTTTATTTTTCATCCACCTGATTAAAATGCAGAGGCACGACCCGGGTCTCCTACACTCAAAATCCCACTTGACTACGAGTACAAACCAAAAGGAGAACCTGCGACATCCACCTGTGTGAAGTGTGATCCTTGTAAAATGCCTTTTTTATTTGAGGCGCGTGAGCGGACAATGAGCGCTTGGGATTTCTCACTTGGATGACTTCTATCAAGACTTTTGAAACCCACGTTCTAGCAAGGAATTGTAAATTATTTTTTAAGAAGCTCTCCAATTTCTAAGAGATGCTTCTAGCCTTGAAAGTTTTCTTTCCGCGGTTCATTTAAAATTACTGCATTGTATATTCTTTGAATTTAAAAAAAATGTCTAGTTTATTATAAATATTAAATTTACGTGAAATATTTTTTACTTTTTAAATTAATTAAAATAGTTAAAAGATACATATAATTATTCTATTTTTACCTTTCAAAAGATTGTGAGTAAATATTTTTTTATTTTTTATCAGAATGTTTTCTCTGTAAAATTATAGCTATAAATTGTTGCTTAACATGCAAATTTGAATTTATTTCAACGTTTTGAAATTAAATAATAAATCAATTTCAAAATTTTATATTACTTCATTTGATTTATGATCACATTGGTCCCTTCCACCGTTTTCCTCTCAGCGATCATCAGATCGGTATCTTTTGAAAAGTGATGTTCGCATCTTTCTTTCACACCCGTTTTTCCTCCACGAGGCATAAAAATTAATATCGACGCACATCTCTGTCTATTCTCTAGTCCCTCCCGAATAAGAACTGGTTCAACCCAGAATAAAGGAAGGAGGAACCATCAAGGATTTTGAATGGGAAATACGTACCAAGTCTCATGGCCTCGCCGCTCTTTTTGTCAATCCAAAGCACAAAGACTCGCTCGGAGGAAAAGGCTCATGATATTAATTGCGTTTAACGCTCAGCAACGTGCATGGCCATATTTGTTTTGCCAACTCTCATCAATCATGGCTCTCAGTTTTGACATAACGAGCTGCCTGTCTTGAAAATTGCTTTCTTTTATTCGTGTTGCTTAAATGTCTAGTGTGATGATGCTCTTTTAATTCTCAATGTATACTCTTCAGCCGTTGAGTAAATATGTATACTGCAATGTTTTTTAGGCAGAGAGAGAAACAAAACACACTCTAGATGAGCATTTTGAAATTATGAAAGAAAAAACTGCATCAACAATGCAAAGTTCTGATAAGTTAATTCTTTTGAAATTAGGCTTAGTGGTGCCCGTACATATCACAATTTTAAATTTTTTGAAGTTATTAATTCCGTCAAAATAATTGATTGCTTAATTACCTGGAAATCAACAAAAGTTAATCCAAGCATATTTGGCTAGATTTGAGTGGTTGAGATTATGAATTAAAAGATAAGCTCTTAAGTGCTTATTATGAGAGAGTGGTACTTTAGAAAATAGTGTTGACGATATGATGCATCCAGAGCAATAGATAATTCAATTTTTTAGTGATGAAAAGAATTAAAATAGACCTGGGGTCCAGCCGGTTCAGGCCAAACAATTGCCAAAAAAAATCCAATTTCACATCACAATTAACTGTCAACATTATCACAACACAATAAATGGCAACACTTTTCGTTGAAAAATATATATTTCTAAATATGAAATAATACATTAATAAATTTATAATGATTGTATTATTTTATGAATAAGATCTTTGTCACATGACAACAAATTCAAGGATACGTTTATTTTTAATTGATTTTATTCATGTTACACTTTGCAGATTAACGTTTTTAATCCCTTTTTACGGAAAAAATTTATTAAATTGCAAAAATTAATTCACCGTTGCATTAAAAAAAAACTATTTTGTGTAGCATTTATGAGCATAAATTTCATTTAATTTAGAATCCAATTTTTTGAAAAAAATGGGTACCTCTACCATGCAAGCATGCAAATTAATTTTAAATCAACTGACCCAGTGTTGGAGATGCTTTTGCTACTTTTCTTGTTGGGCGGCGGCAACACAGGCGGCGGCCGACACCAAGCGGGCATCAGTTGGCACCACGGGGGCATCAGGGCCGGACACCAGGCGAGGACGGCGGCCGCGGCAGCCGCAGCAGCGGTGGCCGTGTCGACGGCCGAAAGTCGCGCCTCGTGCTGCGCCCCCAGCAGACTGAGGTACTCGGAGGCCTTGGGGGCCTCCTTGGCTAGCGGGGGTGGCACGGCTTTGAGGTCGAGCGGTCGGTCGCTCTTTTCCGACTTGACGTCGACCTCGATGGATGACGAGGTGTCGTCGTCGTCCGGCCGGGGCGAGGAGTCGCGGCCGGGGGCGGCAGGGCTCGGGGGTGGCGAGGGTGCTTCGCTGTCGCTGACGTCGCCCATGGCACTCACAGAAGCAAAGTGTGCTCCTTCAAGTCTCCGCGAACGCGAGTGAGTCGAGTGGCCTCCCCCTCAACCCTCACGAGTGCTCTTGCAGGGGTTGCAACTCTTGATGACGAGTGGCCAACTTGAGCCGCAAGGGTGGGGGCACGAGTGGCCGCCGAGAGCAGGCCCCACTCCCCCACTCGCGGGGGCCGCGCCAGAGGCGGGACTCCACCGGGTCCAATGGAGGTGCTGGGAGTGGCGTGAACGCCAATTGATTTTTTGCGCGCTTCTTCTCATCACCTGAGCTGCCGCTTCTGCTCATTGTGTTCTCAGATGTAAAACATATTTTTTGCTTTCTTTGTTGTTCTGCCCACTGTATAGTGGTGAAGCATAAAGCACCCTTAGGAAGCAAAAAGGCAAAAAGCTTTTGCATCGTATTTAGTAGTGAGTTAATATTATAATCATTTTGAGTTGCATGCTCAATAAATTTAATTTATTTAATTTTTATTAAAAATTGAATAATTGTGCATAATTTTTTTTAAATAATTAGAAAAGATCAATTTTAAATGATTTAATAATTATTAATTGAAATATAAACACGATTTCAAAATTTTTTATGTTCATTTTTTAATACTGATGTCATATTATGCAAAAGTATAAACAACGAGATAATTTGAGTTTTGTTTAACAAATATCTAATACGGTTTAAAATGACTGCTAAAAGTGCAAAAATGAATTTTTCCATAGCATTGGTGAATATTCAAGAATGAAGAGTGGAAAAACTTTACTTATTAACTTGCGATTAAACAAAATATTTTGTGAATTTTAAATAAGTTGAATTTATTTCAATACAATAAGACAAAAGATATTTTGTGATTATTATAATTTTTTTGTTATGATTAATTTGCAATATTTATATAATAAAAAAAAATTTATCCTTCTTTTCTTTTAGTATGGTTTGCATGCAGAATTATTTATATAGCACTAAAATTTTGATCAACGCAAAGTCTAAACAGGAAAAGCTTGTCCTTCCTCTCTACTTTGCATGGAAATTAAAATTCAATTACGCTCTCCCCACAAGCGGTGCTGTAAGTTGCCGAAGTCAAAAAGGAGGAGCAAACATCAAACATTCTCCAACCCTCTCATTGTTGTGCAAAAGAGCTTGCACGAATATAGGGTGCAGAAATTCTGAGATGATTTTTTTTTCTTTTGCCAAATCGTGTAGTCGTTTTTTATAGTCCACCTCAACACTCGTAAAATATATTATTTGCCGCCACGGTCTTTGTGCAAGAGGCCCACTGGGGGGGGGGGGGGGGGTCGCCATAACTTTATAACCGTTTCCGTGCGAGGAAGCGAGAAACTGCAACTGCAAGAAGAGAGCAAGTTTTTGCCGCCGAGCTGTCAACGAATGAATGGAAAAAGTTTAATGCCGTAATGCTCCTCGCATGCATGCATCGCCACCTTTTCTTTCCCAGGCGAGCGTTTCACGTTGGATTAAAGCTTGATAATAATTTCTTGAGTGCTGCTTTGTCATCTCTCTCTTATGTAAAGTGCCTCTAAAGTTTAGAGCAAACAAGCTTCTGGAAATGTGCT